CGAATCGACTAAATTCGCCTTCCGAACATACAGGTTAAGCAACTATTAAAATATACTCTAAGCTAAATATAAATTATCTTCTTGCCTTCCATTTCTAGAATCGTTTCAAAAAACAAATCATAAAGTGTTTTTAATCGCTGTAACTGAAACAAGTAATGCAACAAACAAACTTTTAAGTTTACACTTACGGTTCAAAGTTCAATTGACTTCGGGAGCATTGCTCAATTTTCCCGGCTCGGAATGTTGATAGAAGTTTTATTTTTAATATTACTCCGTACTTCCTTCTTTCATTTCCTCCTTTCCTTACCGCCTATCACGAGTCCACTGCTCTACATAGGCCTACCTCGTGTATATTTAACAGGTACCTATTTGCCGTAGTTGCCGCGCTGTGCAGTCGGTTTAATATTGGAAGAGGTTATTGTATAAGAGTTCCTATTCGGAAGGAATTTAAAAGGTCAGTGATTCTAAAAAGTAGAATTGGAATTTTTTATACTCCTTGAAATATTGATTAAAATCTGGGACAGTTCAAAAATTCTGCCACTATCATCATTACAATCCCCCACAATTCTACTGTTGAATACAAACCACCACCAAGAAATGCTATAAAATCCGGTCTTGAGCCTGCACCATTGACTTATTTCTATCTAGTAGGAGGATCGCCCTGTACTCTACTTACCGGTAAAACGCTGCCCTTGGAGAATCTTTCCTATAGACAGTCGGTTCGTCAAGCTATACTTTTTTATATGTAATAAGCGAGAATGCATAAATGGATGCTGTGGTCTATAGACATTTACTACTTACCTCGATTAATAATCAAAAAGCGTGAGGACTAAAGTGGAATGTCTCGTTTCCAGTAAAAATATTCTTTTATTAATATCACAATATAATAGGTCGTAGGTAACAATCACAATATAGGTCAGTAGTATAGGTCAGTGAAAAAGTTTCTTCGTATTTTATATACAATTCAAGATATTTTTTTTTCGAAGTTTAATAACATTTTTATATTTTTTAATTATAATACATAAATATATTTATAAATATGCCATTTTGTTGGATAAATTGTTGCCATCTTGTAGGTAGTGACATGATCCCGTCGCTGTAAAATTCTTGGGACATTTGATTCAAAAAAAATGCGACAAGTAGTTTTGACAGCCCTCTCTTGATGTTTTTTTTATTCTTTTATACTACTGCTGTTAATGCAGTACTTTTCTTTCTTTTAACTTTTATATCTGATTTTATTCTTTCCATATATTTTTTTGAATTTTATTTTCTTCCATTTTTTTCTATTTTTTTATTTTTTTTATAATTGTTTCTTTTTTGTTCTGTTTTTTGTTTTATTATATACAGTTAGGTTCCTTATAAATTTTGCTTACTGCTATTATAGTTTTATACATTTCTACCTCTCTTTAATCTACTAATCTTAGTGTGTCTTTTTGGTAATACATTACTAATAATTATTATTTTTAAATTGAAATTTCATTATTCATTACCATATCTACTTACTAATACATTAGGTACTTATGACTTTATCTAGATAGTATACTATCATTATTTAAGAAGGTTTATCTCTTCTACTATATATATATATATATATATATATATATATATATATATATACATATATATATATATATATATATTCCTGATCTACCCTGTATACATATATACTTTACTTCCATTTTCTTTATTTATTACTAGAATTGCAGAAAGTGCAAATTTCATGAATCTAGATCGGCGATTGTCATCTTCCATCATTATTGCTATATTCTCTTTTGTGATCGACATATCCACGCTGCACTCGCATTCGTATCTAATTTTGTTAAATTTTGGGCATTGCGTAATATTATTCGTGTGTAATATGTGTGTATTATTTGTGTGTATAATTATTATTTGTGTAATAGTAGGATTTTCCATAAAATATACACATAACATTCATATTTTCCAAAATGAACAAATTTAAGCACATTATAAAACGATAAAACATTCATAAGATATAAGACATGATCTGAATGTTTATCACAATTTACAATCCATTTTGTTTGGTCATAGTTACCTTAAAAACTCAAAATAAAACTTTATTATATCTTAAAACACTAAATACAGTTTTCATAGTACCGTTCTTATCATTCCTTTCATCTATCTTAAACAATTTAACGGTTTAATGCGAGAATTAAAACTATAAACAGAATTTTAATATGATATTTAATTTTTACATTATCTCAATATTTTATTGCTAAAACAAAGTCCTATTAACATTTTCATCATCTAATACGGATACAGCATCTAGATAAACCGATTGCTAGTAGCGATTATATTTATTTTAGAAAATTCCAAAAAACGACAAATTTTAACAAATTAATATTTTGAACATTCTTATAAAACGGTTCACCCTTGACCTGCGACGATTTTAGTCACCCTTGCAAGTCGCTGCATCGAGCTCTGCGGGACCCTTGGCACTATATAAAAGATTCTCGCCATCTCTCTCTAACACTTATATTTGTCTCTGTCTCTGCCTAATGGTTTGGAATGTCTTATCTTTAGTCAAATCGCAACGTAAACAAACAAAGTGCTTAATAGCCATAATTATTTTTAATTTTCTATTCATATCGTGTTAAATAACGTAAACTATGTAAAGTTGCAATTCCGTAGCCGACTACAGGCAGCAGCAGCAGGTGACATGTCGCCGCGACATGTCGCTGCGACATGTCGTGGCGTCGTGTAGCTGCGACATGTCGTAGCGTCGTGTCTCTGCATTCATGATTCCGAACTTAACTGCAGATGGTAACAGCCCTTGTCCAGTCCATGCTATTGTATCTTCGAAGAAATTTCACTGTTGGTTAAACTCCGCCATCTAGTCATTGCTTTATGAAAAAAATAATACTTTTTAATTTATAGCTGCTCTGGAATCTTGCATTTTTACTCATTTTTACTCGCCATTGATGTTAATACCGTATTTTCAGCTTTCCAGCCCAGTAGCTTGAAAACGTCTTCCAATGCAGCGGTGAAGAAAAGACATATCGGTGTAACTAAATTAGTCTTCCAAAATAATAAATAATAAAAAATCCCTTCATAGTTCTAAATTCAAGTTAGTTTATATTTGCTACATACATGAAGTTTATATTATAAAGAGTTATAGTAAATATAATTATATATATAATATTATCTATAGTTATGTATAGTTGAAGTAGTAGTTAATAAACTAAACTAGAAATCTAAATATAAATAGAAGTCAAAAAGCGTGACCTTGGCCGCACAAGCACGCGAGGAGCGTTTGTTTCGGTCACCAGTACTCACAGAGTACCTTTGTACTCGGCGACCGGTTCCAATACCGATTACCAAAGTACACCTTCAGGTCACTCCGTCAAGTCCGAAGGTAAGAATTCATCAAACCTAACAAAACAAGCCCAAACTCGGCACACCTGGTAGTACTCAGCGACCAGTTCCAATACCGATTACCAAAGTACACCTTCAGGTCACTCCGTCAAGTCCGGAGGTAAGGACTCATGATACCTAACAAAACGAGCCCAACCTCGGCACACCTAGTAGTACTCGGCGACCTGTTCCAATGCTGATTACCAAAGTACACCTTCAGATCACTCCATCAAGTCCGGAGGTAAGGGCTCGTCATACCTAATAAAACGAGCCCAAACTCGGCACACCTAGTAGTACTCGGCGACCTGTTCCAATTCCGATTACCAAAGTACACCTTCAGGTCACTCCGTCAAGTCCGGAGGTAAGGGCTCGTCATACCTAATAAAACGAGCCCAAACTCGGCACACCTAGTAGTACTCGGCGACCTGTTCCAGTGCCGATTACCGAAGTACACCTTCAGGTCACTCCGTCAAGTCCAAGTTCCAGTATTAGTTACTGAAGTTCACTTTCAGGTCACTCCACCAAGTCCGGAGGTAAGGTCTTATCATAACTGACAAAACCAGCCCAAAGTCCACAGCTAACTTCTCAGTGCCAGCAGAGGGCTCCCAGTGCAAAGCAGTCTCTAGAGTAGGTATTCGTATTTCGTAACTAAGTCTAATTACTCAATGTATCTAAGTATATTTTTGAGGTGGAAGAAATCAAAAACAAATTCGATCTTTCAAATTATAAAAATAATTTTATTTGACTACGATTCCCGCAGCCAACCGTGCGTACAGCGTACACTTCTGTGCGTGACTCATGTCAATGTAATAGTTCGATTTTATACCTATATCAATTTTGTAAGGCGTCCTTAAAAATCTTAACGTAAATACTGCGGCAAAAAGAGCGACACGTCTCTACAGCACCAGGCCTCGGCCGGCAGTCTTGTACATACAACTTTATAATTTGTGGCCGGCAGTGACTGCACAGGCGTTTACGCAAACGTCCGTACGTATTATTTCAGAAATAAGATTATGCGATTTAAAAAAAAAACTATTAGTTGGACTAAAAAATTAAAACACTATAACGTTAATATGTTGAATGTAAAAAAATCTGACAAAAAATCAATGATTGCATGTATACTAGTATGGTTTTTACTAGTTAAAAGAAATTTTTAGAGGTATGTTTGTGATTTTTTTCTATCGCATTAAATTAGTGGTATCACGTTTTCAACACACTATCTAACTAGCATATGTCCTGGACAATATCATATATTTTTCTGGGTTTATTTACTGCAGTGGATCATATACTTTGAGGCATTATAAACTTGCGTTTAGGCTCATGCCTCGTCTTAACGCAATAGTTTGTAGATTAATCTTTGTTGCGTGAATGCTAGAGGTATTTGTAGGCGTAATTGTGTATTTATTGTTTGTCTATGTGCTACGACCTGGTGATACGCGTCCCTATATTAAAAGACAGTAGAAGGCATTTATATTGTCTTATTATTTAGATTTCTGTGACATGCGCAGACACGTAATACACAAAAAAATTAAAAATAATACAAGAGAATCAATCCCCGCCAAAACTACATTCCGGAGTCAAAAGCAAGCATACCGTTCCCAGCAGTCTAAAGAGTGTGTGTTGTGTAGGTGGAGATGAAGCAGAGCGTGACGTCACTGTCGGCGGCGGTGGCGGCGGGCGGTGCCAACTTCAGCGCGGGCCAGCGCCAGCTGCTGTGCCTGGCGCGCGCCGCGCTCGCGCGCAACCGCCTGCTCGTGCTCGACGAGGCCACCGCCAACGTCGACCCCAAGTCAGTGCTAGCATTGTATACTGCTACCTCACTGTTACAGCTTAGCAAATGTTCTCTCTCTCTCTCTCTATCGCCTCCCGCCTGCTCGTGCTTGATGAGGTCAACACCAACGTAAACCCTAAGACAGTGCACGCATTGTGTTCCGCCATCTCTACCGTTACGGCCAAACAAAAGCTCTCTCTCTCTCTCTCTCTCTCTCTATATATATATATATATAAATATATATATATATCGCCTCCCGCCTGCTCGTGGTCGACGAGGCCACCACCAACGTCGACCCCAAGTCAGTGCACGCATTATGTACCGCCACTACACTACACGATTAACGTTAGGGTCGGTTCTTTCTGTAACTCTCTTTGATTTACTTCACCTATGTAATAAAAAATTGAATTCAGTTTTCACACCTCCGAACGGCTGAATAATCATAAAATAAATGCTGTTTCGTTACACAAATGTTTATTCATTATTCTTAAGACTTAAAAATTATATAAGTAACTAGCGATCCGCCTGTTGAATTCTCTCGCACTGATGAATTCTGGATCTCGACAGCAGCGCCACTTACCAACCCAATTGTGAATCTAAACCATTCATGGATCTATTTAAACAGATAAGATGTCATCAAAATTGTTAAGTCGTATAAAAGTTGCTAACATTTCTAAATTTTATTGCAGTACTGATGCCTTAATCCAAAAGTCAATACGCAAACACTTCGCCGAATGCACAGTGATAACGGTGGCTCATCGACTGCACACTGTCGCCGACTCCGATCGAGTCATCGTAAGTTTTGTAAAAATGTCTTATGCACAACGTGAACATTCCACATAAAATATCTTATATAGGTCGACTTTCAGTGGATTTTTATTTTTTAACAATTAATGTCAAATTATTTTAAAGATATCCCACTATATCTCCGAGAACTACTTTTCTAATTGTATAACGTAAGTAATAGAATCGCACCTACAAATTATAAAACTCATGTTCTCGCTAATTAATTTCTAACAAACTAAAATTTTAGGCAAAATAAAAAATTGAATGAACAATTGACTTTCTCAGGTCATGGAAGCCGGTCAGATTGTGGAATCAGGTCATCCACACGAGTTGCTACAGAAAAGTGACGGCTACTTCACCCGCATGGTGAAGCAATTGAGCCCCGCCTCGGAGCAGAGTCTGAGGGAGCTAGCTAGCAACGCCTACGCACGACATATCAAATACGTAGACGCCGACGAACAAGGCCAATTTTAATACTTACTATTAAATAATTTCGAATACTAAGTAATTTGTGGTAGAACGCCCTAGTTCACGCCTTCATGTTGTCTTTACCAAGTTAACACACCGATAATAATGTGATGAACAAGCATTTAACCAATAATCATAATAGTTAAGCAGAAGTTATTTCAAACACGTTAATATAGTATATTTACTTATCATACTGATACACAATATTTTTTACAATAAAAATCTTAAAATCCGAAAATTTTATCAAAAGTCCCACTCCCCGCGCCAAGTCCGCCAGCTCACCTTTGGAGTGAAGTGGGAGCTGTGGGTAGAGCAGCAACTGAAAAAATATAGCTTATTTAATGATAGTTGTTTTAAAGGGTCGTAATTATTGTAGTTTTTGTATATATAAAATATACAGTAAATATTATTATGTTTTGTTTTATTTATTAATAATTTACCATACACAAACATTCATACCATACAATTACACATTACAATTACATACAATTCACTGTCTCGAGTGCATCCCGTCAGTTACAAGCATAGATTACTGCGTATTACACGAGAGCCTCGGGCGAGAGTGGACATGTTTAACTTAAGTGCGTGCCGAGCCTATGTTAAACTACAAAGACGAGGGAAGATTGCAGACAATACAGTGGCGTCGAGAAAAAAGGTAAGTAGCTATTCAGTATAAATATATAAACAAAAGTAGGTTAGCCATGTGCAACTATTAGCATTGTAAACTAAATCCTAAGCCCGCATACCCGCGGCAAAAAAAAACAGTGGATTATGAATTATAATTTTATAATTTATAGTTTTAAACCCTGTTCCGATCATTCTAATAATTTATATAAATTATATGTTCGCGTATGACCACGCATATGGTGCGCAAAAATTTATTATTATATATTAATTTATTATAAATTTATATATTATTATTTAATTATAATATTAATTTAGCGCAACTGCCTCGACCTTCTGCTTACGACCGATCCAGACAGGTACAATGTTCAGGTTACCTCACCCCTGGGAACTTCTGACCACAGTCTGGTGAAATCTGTGTCGTTATAGTCTCCACCCAACTACGATTGCCACGGTGTGCGGTGAGTGTGGCGATACCAGTCAGCAGATTGGGATGAGATCCGGCATTTCTTTGCATCTTATCCTTGGCGGCAGGTCTGCTTCTCGTCTGAAGATCCGTCGAGCTGCGCGGATACCATAACCGATGTGATACGTCAAGCGATGTAGTATTTCATCCCCTTTGCTGACGTGCCCATTGGTGGTAAAGCTAACCCATGGTTCAACGCCGACTCCATGCTCGAGACCGCAAAGCTCCGAATGTTAACCTTAAGAAGAGAGCCTTTAATCGAGCGGCCAAGTCTTGAAAAAGGCGTTACGTCAAGCCAGTTTCGACCGCATTCAACGCATTGGTACAAATCTCTCTGTCAAACCATCTGGCAGTAGAACTTTTTGGTCTCTGGCCAAAACGGTCGAGACAAACTTCGTCGGTCTGCACTGCCTCCGCTGGTAAAACCAGATGGCTCACTGGCGCATGCTCCTAAGGAGAAAACGGATTTATTTGTTTCTCTTTTTACTTGCAATTCGCGTCTGGACAGTAGCAACAGCATACCACTCAATTACCTTACTGCGGTACCCTTATGTCAGAGGTCCGTATTAGCAGCTTGTGGTTAAAAAAAGGGCGCCGTGCCGACCCTGCCAACTATCGACCAATTTCAATTACCTCCATACTCTGCAAGATTACGGAACGCATATTGAACGCCCGCTAAATGGCATACCTAAAACAAAATGACCTCCTTAGTGAGCGGCAATATGGGTTTCGCTGAAATCGGTTAGCTAGGGACCTTATAGCGTATGCAACACACGTATAGGGCGAGGCACTTGAGAACGCGGGAAGCACTTGCTGTTTTCCTTGATGTCTCGAAAGCCTTTGATAGTAGATAGGTAGTACCACTTCTGGCTCACTGAGTAAGAAGTGGTACAACGCTCGTCGACTAACGATCCTTAAAACAAAAAAAAAGGTTTTGGCATGCTCTGATCACGAATCTGCCCGTCCGTCCGTTTTTGCGTAGGATGCACGGTTCCTGAGATGTGCAGATCAATTAACTCATCTAATTGATATCCGGTGAGGGCCTCCACCGTCATTAGCGCCCCATTGTTCTTATCTATTTATCTATTGTCCATTGAATACCGTCATTGTCTAGTTTTCCTCGGTGTATGCGTCGGCTTATTAGTGCAATTGTATTATACTTCTTTTTTCCTATCTACAACGCTAATCTGAATCATCAATAAAACACATTACCTAATTTTGTTACAATTTTTATTTACAAAATACAAAATCTTATTACTTATTGTCTATAAAATAGAAGCGAAACATCTCATCCACTAAAATATCCTTGTACAATGTGTTCCCTGTAAATATACTCGTAAAACTATGCATTGATCATCCCTGAAACTTATATAGCAAATACATTAAGCAATATTCGCCACAAACTGAATTCCACTCATTCTGAATCCTATCAACATTCCAGTTCCATCTTTTACAATTTCTTTTTAAAAACTCTGGATGATATCGTACAGGTGACCGTCCATATGAATCAAAATATTGACCGACGTCGTTCGTATCGATATACAAAGCTACCCAATGTGACCCAGGTTTATCATCTATATCGAAATTGCATATTATATACGTTGGTACGTGGGTATACATGGGCAGTCTATTAGCAGCATAAACATTATTTTCTAGACTGGGGTGATTCTTTTTCAGATGTTGTTGTACATCTAGTGTATCCATGATATTACTGCTATTAGTAGATTATTACAGAACCAATTTACTCAATGACTAACATAGGAATGATCAATTATAGATGTTTCTAAATATTAAATTGCATTCTTTTGTGTTATACAAATCATATTTGAGTCATCAATACACTGAACAAGACGCAACACGAAGGAATGTTGAGATAAGCAACAGAATGTGAGATAAGCTTGTTGACGCATAAAATTACTCGTACTATCAGTTCCATTGCAGAAATTCTTTAGATTAGAATTATTACTTACTGGTACTATATAAGACCGAGCAGCTGCAGTCATGGAGTTAGTGTATGGTCGTTTGACCGCAGTGGATCTATCAATACTACATTTGTGTTACTTCAACGCATCAAATGCCATGGATGTAAGTGTTTATTCTATTGACAAACTTACTTTTCTTTCTGTTATTTTCTTACGTGTGTATGATTTAGTGTTAACAAATTATATTTAACCCCTACATTATGTGTGTATATAATTAAGCCGTGGTAGCTCAGATGGTTAGCGCAAGCTGTAAATTTCACAGTACGCTACCCGGGTTCGATCCCCGCCGGCACCAATTAAATTGTTAATTGCAATTTTAAGTGCTGATTTACCACGTGCTCATCGGCAAAGGAAAACATCGTGAGGAAACCTGCATGTCTGAGAAAATTTCGAAGGCATGTGAAGTTCGCCAAAACGCATTGAGGCAGCGCGGCGGACATTTCCTAGCCATGAATACAAAGACAATAGCAGAAAGTGAAAAAGTTAAAAAATACTTTTTTAACAATGACAGTCATTAGTTGATCATTAGTGAATGTGATTCTGTTTACTTAAATTACAGGAAGATAAGAGCAGAAGGAAGAGATGGGATGATGGGAAGTAATGAAGCACTGTTATGTGAAGTTTGTTACCCCCTTTCTTACCAATAATATTAGGTGCAATATTGAGTGGATTAGTGAGTGGACTAGCCAGTTAACATGGAAAATGCAAAGAAAATGATACTTATCGAACCTGGATTGATTGAAAAATTAAAACAAGAAAATACCGTTAATAATAATTTATCTCGATTAGATATTGAAATGCAAAATATTATGAATAGTAAGACGGAAGACCGAAAGAAATGGATGTTATATTTTCAAACACTGCAAAGATACCTTCGTTTTACCGAATCTAATGAAGATTCAAATGAGTCTAAAATTGGTTTTAAAAATAAAGATAGAGATCTAAAAACTTCAGTTGATGCTGAATCTTTGTTGTAGGAGAATCGATCCATTAGAAGTAAAGAAAATGATGAAAATCCACTTTACACACCAGCTCAAATACTCAGTTTAATAGCAAAAACTTATAATAAAAAAAGGACAGTTATTATTTAACTTAGTTGAAATAAGTAAAAGTAAAATACATTGGGATAATGAGGGTACAGTCATAATTGATAATGAAAAAAATCCTGGAAGTAATATTGTTAATTTAATAAATGATTCAGTAAGACCCTTAAAAAGAAGTGATCCAGTAGGGTGGGATAGATTTGCTGAAGCATTAAAAGATATTAAAGTACCGCTTACTTATATTGGAAATCCAAGAGATGTGAGTTTATTAACCAACTTCAGACAAAAGATCTGAACAAACCCTCTGAGATTGAAGTTCAAGAGGTTTCTACACCGAGCAGTAGAGATAAAAAGTCTACAAATAAAATACGTAAAAGGCTTGAGTGGGAAAAATGGACCCCGTACTAGAAGAAATTAACAGGATTTATTATGATCCACCTAATCCCGCTGGTTTTGGTAGTATTGATAAATTATCAAAAGCCATGAAGGGTAAAATGAACAAAAGGCAAGTAAAGGAATGGTTAAAATCACAAGAAACATACACATTACATAAACTCATTCGAAAAAAAATTCCCGCGTAATAGGTACACTCTATCACATATTAATGAACTGTGGCAAGCTGATTTAAGTGATATGCTAACTTATTCTCAATATAATGATGGTTTTAAGTATATACATTGTGTTATTGATGTATTTGGTAAATATGCTTTTGCAAGACCAATGAAAAAGAAAAACTCAGAAACAACTAAAGAATGTTTTGAAAGTATATTTACTGAAAGTAATTTAACACCTACTCACATACAATCTGATAAAGGTACAGAATTTGTTTCAAAAGATGTACAAAAATACTTTAAATCCAAAAAGATTAATTACTATACCACTAACAATCCT